GTTTTTAAGGACTCAAGAAGAATGGTTTTAACATTGGGAATGTTGAACAAGATTTCTTTCTGTTTAAAAAACAACAACCAAGCAACATTTCTGCATGTATCTAGAAATCTGAGAACTCTGACATCTAATCTCTTGACTTAACATTTATCTTTGCTCATTAAGAAGTTGGGCTGTTAAGAAAATTCAAGAATGGTGTGTGCTGAGCCGTAAATTTCAGGCGAACTGCCACATGCAAGCCATGAGATCCACAGAAAGAACTGGAGATGCTGGGAGATACTTTAACATTGAATTGTACCTCCCTGTGACAGCCTCGATTCTCAGAGGTCTGAGGGGGCCTGAGGTTTCTGGATTTATGGTCCAGTCAGTACAGATCCTTCTGGGAGCAGCACTACTGTATTTAACATCCCCTACCCTTTTCTCCTCTCCCCATTTTGGTTCTTTTACATTAACTCTTGAACTGTCCAATTTGGACACAAAATACCCTGAGGAACACATGGTGTGGTTATTGGTGGGCTCAATTTATAGCACTGTTTGCTATTCCGGAAGTTGGGCTGTTAAAAAAATTCAAGAATGGGTGTGTGCTGAGCCGTAAATTTCAGGCGAACTGCCACACGCAAGCCATGAGATCCACAGAAAGAACTGGAGATGCTGGGAGATACTTTAACATTGAATTGTACCTCCCTGTGACAGCCTCGATTCTCAGAGGTCTGAGGGGGCCTGAGGTTTCTGGATTTATGGTCCAGTCAGTACAGATCCTTCTGGGAGCAGCACTACTGTATTTAACATCCCCTACCCTTTTCTCCTCTCCCCATTTTGGTTCTTTTACATTAACTCTTGAACTGTCCAATTTGGACACAAAATACTGACCCTGAGGAACACATGGTGTGGTTATTGGTGGGCTCAATTTATAGCACTGTTTGCTATTCCATTTCCCTCCTTGATCTTCCCATCTGGATCCCAAGGGTCAACTGTATATCTCCTTCAGAGCCACGGATTTTTATTTTATTCATAAAATTCCATGGTTTAAAAAAATGTTTGGTAAAAAGAAATGTATAAGTAAAAATATGGTTATTATTACCACTACCCACACTTTAACCCATGTTAAAATTTGGGTGTGTGTCTTTATACAAATGTATAATTAATTTTTAAAAATTGGGCTTTTATTAGCAAGGGAATGTTTTCTATGCTGCCTGGTCTGAAATTCTGGTGCAATGATCTATTTGGCTGTACAATTTTAAGTGAAATACTCAAACTCTCTATGCTTCAGTGTCCTCACCTTTAAGATGGATAATAATGGTATCTATATAATAATAATGGTATCTACCCCTAGGTTTGAGGGGGTAGATAAACAGTGGCAGGAACATGGTGAATAGTCAAAAAATGTAAGTGAACATGCTTCAGTGTCCTCACCTTTAAGATGGATAATAATGGTATCTATATAATAATAATGGTATCTACCCCTACGTTTGAGGGGGTAGATAAACAGTGGCAGGAACATGGTGAATAGTCAAAAAATGTAAGTGAACATTGGTATTTTTATTATGTGAATACTGTTTTGTAACCTGCTTTAGAAAATACATTGTGAATATTTTCTCACGTTATTCATGACTAATACATGACTTTATTGTGTAACCCAAAATCCATTATATCTGTATTAGTCTGTCTGTGTTGCTTACAACAAAATACCTGGAACTGAGTAATTGATAAGAAAACAGAATTTATTGCTTACAGTTTCAGAGGCTATGAAGTCCAAATTCCAAGGAACACCTCTGGGGCAGGTCATCCTTTGCAGCTTTATAGCAATGCAGGGGTCTCACATGGCAGAAAATGGCAGAACACAGAGAGGGACTCTCACGTGCTCTTCTTTTAAAGCCCTCAGAACCACGCCCCTGACCACCATTATTAATCCTTAGCTATGGAATGGTCCTACAACCTAATCACCTCTTCAAGGCCCCACCTTTCAATTAGTATAATAGGACAGAATAATAGGATTTCCCATCCTCAACAGTTATGGTGGGAATTAAGCTTCTAATATGTGAACTTCGGGGGACACAATTCAGTCAGTCCACAGCACTGCACCATAATTTATTTAATCAGTGTTCCATTGTTGCTCATTTGTTGTTTTCAGTGTTTTGCACAGTAACAAATAATCCTATGGTAAATATTTTTGTGCATAAATCTTTGGGCACATCTCTGATTATTTTCTAGGGCAAGTTCCTACAAGTACTATGCTGAACCAAAAGGTATCAGTCCTCTTTAGGCTTTTGACAAAATGCCCTCCAGAAATGTCATGTAAATTTGTGCTCCTGATGTATGAGACCACTATTTCCCCATAGCCTTTCCAACACTGGGCACTATGATTTAAAAAGTTTCTTGCCGGCCTGTAGTTTTCGTAATCAGACAATGCTCTTTGTTTTCTAGAGCTTTACTCTTTAGAGTGTTCATTTTCTTTAACCCCAAGTCCCTTTTGAGTTGCTTCTCCTCTGCTTTTAATCTATGTCCTCTAATCTTACATTCCTGTCCTGTTACTATTCCAAACCTTTTCTTTTCCTTTCTGATTTCTTCAGGACAGGACAGACACATGACTCCTGGAGTCCCTTTAAGTCCACAGACAGGCAAAGTGCAAAGCACACTGGCCCTGGAGAGGTAGGCATTTCCCTTCTACCTACTTGGAGTTAGACTACAGTGCTCTGTTGTGACAGGTATGAGCTATAAATCTAGTAGAAGAATACAATGGGAAGACAGGAACTTCTTTTTTTTCATGGAGCCTAAATCTAACATGAAATTGTCCCCAAACAGACTCCTCTACTTTATAAACTAATAAGATCCCTGTTACCCGAAGTATTTAGCTAAATAGACAAGCATCTGAAAGCTGTGGAAGGTATTTTTACTCTGGGTATAAAGTTAGCCTACATATCAGGCAGTGTCCAACCAGGAAAACAGAAGCTACTCTGAGTAGGAATTTAATTTAGGGAATTGGTTACACAGGTAATTAGAGAGCTCAGAAGCCAAGCAGATGATGAGGCAACATTGAGATCAGTAACTTCAGGAAGCTAGCACCACCCCCAGGTTAGACACAGAGAGGGAGAAGCTGGTGGGGTCACCTGGAGGAGACTGGGGCCATCGTGGGCCTGTCTGTTGGGAGCTGGACCACAGAGATGATGCTATGCATCTTGTTACCTGAGGCAGGGGAGAAATATCCCAGTTTTCCCCTTCTTCCTCTCCAATCTCCCCCCAAAGCCTCCCACTGGCAAATTCAATCAGAAGCCAATTGACATAGATGTTTATGGAATTGTATGTAGCCTGTGGTCAACCCCCCTGTGATGCAGAGCAGAGCAGGGGAAGGTACGGAGGGGATCTGAGGGCAAACAGGACAGGACAGACACAATGACTCCTGGAGTCTCTTCAAGTCCACAGACAGGCAAAGTGCAAAGCACACTGGCACTGGAGAGGTAGGCAGTCCTAGGTTTGAATCCCGGCTCTGTCATTTACTAGCTCTCTGGCCTTGGGGAAGTCACCTATCTCCTCTGAGCTTCAGTTGCCTCATCTATAAAAGGGACAAGAAAAACCACATCTCACAGGATCATTGTGAGGATTAAATGAAATAAAGCTATAAAGAAACAGTAAGCATTCAACAACAATTGGTTTCCTTTCATTTAAGAATCTACAATTTTAAGACAAAGGACAATTGGGCCCTTGGTCAAGGTCATTGAGCCTCTCTATTTTGAAAGATGGGAAGGAGACAGAGGAATCTTTCCTTTCGGAAGCTCTGCTTAGGGTGGAGATAGGTGGTAAATTGCCCAGTAATGATACTGGGAGATGATCTACGACACATTGAAAATATCACGCATGACTGGTGCATTCATTCCACAAACATTTATGGGTACTCACTATTGTCTGGAAATGATTTAGACATGGTCCCTGCACTGGAGGAGATGTTATTCCATCAGGGATGACAGAAGGTCAAAGAGAGAAATCTCAGTGCATGATCATATGAGAATGTTTGCAGAGGAGGGAGCCATGGGATATCTCTGCCTAGGGAAGTGAGAGAAGGCTTCAGTGAAGAGATGATATCTGAGTTGTGTTTTGAAGGATGGTAGGAGTTTGCCAGCTGTGGAAGCATGTGCAAAAGTGCAGAGTCATGAAAGGGCATGGGGCATGGGGGAATGGTGATCTAGTCATGCAGGTGGGGCCTTGAGGGCTCCATGGTTGAGATGATGGTAGGAACAAGTGGGAGAGGTGGCCAGACATGGAGGAGAGATCCAGTGCATGAAGGGCCTGGTGTCAGAAGTCAATGGCTTTATCCTGTGGGGAATTTGAAGTCAGCAGAGACTTTTAAACTTGGGAGTAACCCACCATCTCTGACCTAGAATTGCATAACGTGACACAGCTTCCCAGACTGTCTTATGGCCTCAGCCAAAGAGCCGATGCATGCAGTTATATAAAGCAGGGGCCATGTGTATATCTCCCAAGACATTAGAAAGCATGAATCAGAAAAAGGAGCACAGGGCTTTCCCCTTAATATTAAATTCAGAATGGAAAAAGTAATTAACTTATTCTGCAGATGCTGAAGGGCACAAGGTAAATATTTAACATGCTCTCCCTCTCATTTCCACAAAGCCAAGAACATCAGAGGTGAGATGATGATGCTGTGGCTATGAGACAGGATTTTAAGGATTCTGATGAAATGTCTGCTGGCCTGAATCTGTCTAAATGCTGAAAAGGACTTTGTGTTACTGTAACTGAAAGGAAAACACAAAATGATGACAATATAGCCCTTTATGCTTTCAGAGCCCTTTTACATACATTATCTCATTTAAGTCTCTTGAAATTGTATGCGGCAGATATGACCAAGAGTACAACCTCGTTTTAGAGATTAAGAATTGGAGGTCTGAGGATTTCATACCTTCTCTAGTGTCCAAGAAGAAGTTATACCCAAAGCTGCAACTGGATTTGTAGACTCAGAGGCCAGCACCTTCCCCAAACCCTGCCCTGCCTACCTGTTTCCTTCCATATGCCAGGATGGCTTCTTTGAGGTCTTGAAGTGTACGCAGTTCAAGACCCAGCCTCTTCCTGTGATCTCTGGGGCAGTGGGGTCCTTTTCTCCTTTCTTCAGGTGTCCATGCTGATATGGCTAAACCTTCTGAGTAGAGGATGAGGGCACCCTTTCTAGTGCTGAAAGTTTTAGGAAGAAGGAGGCTCCAGGAATGCTGGTTGGCATTGTTTTCATTCTGAGACTTGCTGACCAGGACATAGTCTTCTGGGGACTTCCAGTTCAAGTAATCCTGCAATGAAAAGAAACCACCTTGATAAAGCCACTGCGGAAGACCCTTCTATATAGCAAGTACTGCTTGTGCAAGGTCTTTGACATTCTTTAGTTACTGATTCTCTCTGAATTGTTCACATGATGATATGGAACACATTTACTCTTCCTAGCAACTGACTTTTTTCTCCCCATCTCAAAATTAGTAGAATCCAAGGTATGGTTTTATTTTACCCTGTACAACGTTCAGGGGAGCCATTCATACTTGGAGGCTTATCTGGGGTAGAGTGTAGGTTACAGGCCAGTTAAAGTTTCCTCGTATGCAAGTAGGTTGTAAGAATTATCAAGGGCAGCAGATAACTTTGAAATTAGACCTGAACTAGCTAGCAGTTTAAATAGGAGAAAACCATCTCAACCCGCACTTCAGCTGCACACAGAGAGAATTTATGTACATTCCAGATGCTATCTAACATTACCTAATTTGGCTATTTAGGAGCCTATAAAGGGGTTATATCTTGTAAGTAAGTAAATGCCACTGGCCATAGAGGTCCTTTGAAACTTTATATGTCTTTTAACATAGGTCAAATATCATGACAAACTACCATGAAAATGGAAATCTCTGTATGACCCCCAAATGTGTAAATACTCGCAGTGTATCTCTTATTCCTGGCAGGATTCAATGAAATAAAATTCCAGTACAACAAGGGAATTTTGCTACCTCTTTAAAATCTTCTAAAATGAGATTTTCTTTGGCCTGTATTAAATATGAGTTCTGTGTGTTGAATTCCAGAAAGTTCAAGGAAGCCATTGAAATGGCACGAACACACACAGCATTTCAACCGCAGTGTACAACTTCTAAAAGCCAAACAACTGTCAGCTTGCCTAGAACCCAGGTGGAAATTCTGGTCTTGAACCAAATCATCTGAATTCCAGAACATCTGGAATCTCCTTCTATCTCAAGCAAAGGAGGCTGTAAGTCAGTGTACAGGGAAGGGAAGAGGGCCCCAGAGTCAATCTTGGTGTGTCAGGCAAACTACATTATTTTCTTATTTCATAAAGGAGAAGGGAAGATCCACCAGTGCACCCCCCTCACTAACAACACCCCCAAGTGGAAAAATAGAGCATTTCTCTCCCGCCCCCTCCCCAAATGTGCCTTCATGCAGCTGTAAGACTCACCTCTGGTTCAAAATAGACTTCTAGCTTCTGTTTGTCCTGGACCAACTTCCCGTGTCCCCGGCTCAGGAGAGAGAGCATGAACATGTTTCCCCTCTGACCACCCCTTCTCAAGGGCAGTTCATCTTGGTTTTGAAGGCTGAAAACTGGTCACACCTCAAGATTTCCAAAGCTCAGCAGCAAGCCCGAGAAGACCACAAACACTGGGCCTTTTATTAAATACATTTTTCCCTCTTACAGCAGCTTCTTAATAACAACCAGCCACACAGTTTAGACAGTGCGTGTCTTTGTGGAGAGAAAAAATAAACCATATACTCATACCCCTCTAGCCCTGGATCGCCTTCTCTCTGGGCAGTCTCTCTCCCCTTCGCCTGAGCCCTTGTTGTCCCTCGGTCCTGGTTGCTCTGTTACCGGCCGTGTGCATCTACAGATCTGGGCCACGGCACCATCCTTCCCATTGTGAGTGGAGGTTGTTTCCTGGTTGCTATGGCAGCACAGGGAAATGAAGTCCTTTAAGCCAGCCAAGGCAAGGCAGAGACTGCTGAGGACACTGTTCACTTATTGGGGAAAAAGGGGGTTCAAATGGACATTGAAGGGACCGGGCTCAGATTGCAAGTCCCTACTGAGGGGGGTGGGGAGATGGGGGGTATATTGGGGTATTTTTTCTGCTATAGTACTCATCTTGCTTAAGGGAAAAGGGGGTTCAAATGGACATTGAAGGGACCGGGCTCAGATTGCAAGTCCCGACTGAGGGGGTGGGGAGATGGGGGGTATATTGGGGTATTTTTTCTGCTATAGTACTCATCTTGCTTATAGAGAGTGTCTTCTCCTCTCTTCTGATATGTGAGCCTGTCGCTGTCAACTAACCATTAACAGACTCAGGGAGTCATCGAGGTCACCTAAAGCCACCTGTGACTTTTTCCCTGGCTGAGCTGCAACATCCCTTTGACTCATTATGGAAGTTGCTGCTTTGTATGAGTGAGTGGGGGACACTGGGAATCTCCAATTTCCTTTGCATACTTGGCTCTCAAATAGGTGACTCCTATCACCAGAGGGGGGTACTTTGGAAATGTAGGTGGGGGGCATTTTGGTTGTCACAATGTCTGGGGGCCACTGCTTGCATTATAGCAAGTAGGGGCCCAGGATGCTGGATGTTCTGCAGTGTGTGCAGCCATCCTGCGTAATGAAGAATTGTTCTGCTGGAATGCCAGTAGCACCCCCTTTGACAAACACTGCTATGGCCTGGGCTGGTTGTTTCTTTTTGATGCTGACAGTGCGAGGAGCACAGGACAGGAGGGAAGAGGATTGGGAAACAGAGAGACCCCTTTGCTGGTGATCTAGGATCCTGAGTTGGCCTGGAAAAGCAAGCTGCCCTGTCATTTGTCAACTAAACTACCCAAGGAGTCTTGTGAGAGTGCCTCCTGCTGGCCTGTATGAAGAACTACAACAGGCTACAGGCCCATTTAACCTTTTAGATTCCTCTGTGGTGCCTTTCCCTGGAGGCAGGCTCCAGTTTCATGAGGAAGAGGTAGATGTCATGCTGTACAATGAGATTGGGTTTATCACGGGAAATTGAGACAATGAATTCAGAGACTCAAAAACGGAATTTAGTCAAAAGCACAATGAGATACCACTTCATACCTACCAGGATGGCGATTGTAAAAAAACAACAGAAAATAACAAGCATTGGTGAGGATGTGGAGAAATTGGAGCCTTTGTGCACTGTTGGTGGCAATGTGAAATGGTGCAGCTGCTGTAAAAAATAGTGTGGCAATTCCTCAATCAAATTTGATTCATTAATTCCACTTCTGGGTATATACCCCAAAGAAGTGAAAGCTAGGTCTTGAAGAGATATTTGTACATCCATGTTCATAGCAGCATTGTCACAAGAGCCAAACGTGGAAGCAACCCAAATGTTCATTGAGAGATGGACGAATAAACAAAATGTGGCATATACATACCATGGAATATTATTCAGCCTTAAAAAGGAAGGAAATTTGTACATATGTTACAACATGGATACACCTTGAAGACTTTATTTTTTCTGGGATGGGCAGCTAGTTAGTATGGGGATCAGAACCCATGACTTTGGTGGTACAAGGCTGTGCTCTAACCAGCCGAGCTAACCGGACAGCCCATTGACTGAATTCTGATTTCTTTAGTTTTTTTTTTTTTTTTGGGGGCCAGCTGGTAAGGGGAACGAACCCTTGACCTTGGTGTTATGTGGCTGTGCTCTAACCAACTGAACTAACCAGCCAGCCCCTGAACCTTGAAGACTTTAAGCTAAGTGAAATAAGCCCATGACAAAAGGATAAATATTGTGTGATTCCACCTATGTGAGGTACCTAGAGTAATCAAATTCATAGAGACAGAAAGTAGAATGGTGGTTCCCCGGGGCTGGGGAGAGAGGGGAATAGAAAGTCAGTGTTTAATGGGTGTAGATTTTCAATTTGGGAAAATGAAAAATTTCTGGAGTTGGATTCATAACAATGTAAATGTACTTGAACTGTAAACTTGAAAATGGTTAAATGGTGCATTTATGTTATATATATCTTACCACAATTGAAGGTTTTTTTCAAATGTATGGAAAACACTTCCCCAAAATCTGAATTTAGCACTTCATAATCTGAAATAATCCGATAATGCTGTCTCAGCGGCATTATCATGGAGTGACCTCCTCACAGCAGGTGAGACAAAATCCTATAAAACCAAGGTTCCAAATAGTTTACAGGGATCTGAGGCTATAGTTTCTTCCTCCTTTCCCCTTCCCTAACCCCTTCAAAGTGCAAAAAGGACCCTTCAACAAAACTCTACTGAAACATTACTATATCTGAAACACAATTCTTGGATTGAGGAGCTTCCAGTACCTGAAAGATGAAGTGACAGCTATTAATGGAGGTGGAGGTAAGTAGGTGCTCCAAGAAAGGGAGTGGAGGTGGGGGATAGACGGTGGTGGGCATTGTAGAGAGCTACAAAGATGAGGGACATTGGAGGTGGGCTTTATTTATTTTTATTGTAACATAGTTGATCATACATATCTGTGGGGTACAGAGTTGAATATCCATACTTATGTGCAATATGTGATGCTCAAATCAGAATAATTATTATATTTAACAATATACACTGTCATTGCTATTTGTAGCCCTTTACCAATTCCTCCCTCCCCCCCATTCCCACTTCTAGTAACCTCAGTTCTCCTTTTGAAAGTTCAATGTATTATTGTGATTGTTGGATCTTTCCTTCTTTCTCTTATTTATATGTTTATTTTTTAGCTCCCACTTATGAGTGAGGACATATGGTATTTCTCTTTCTGTGCCTGGTTTATTTCACTTACCATGATTTTCATCTGTGTTGCTGCAAATGGCAATACTTCATTCTTTTTTATGGCAGAGTAATATTCCATTGCGTATATATACCACATTTTCTTTATCCACAGAAGTGGGCTTTAAAGGACAGTAGTTTACTGGGAAGATGTGAGAAAATGGCAAGAGGGGAGACAAAAGAGGATATTGCAGGAGGTGTGAATAGGCAAGTTTGAGGTCTCTGAGGAAGGGGCAACTTCTCTGGTGTGGTCATGTAGATGGAGATGAGACTAGAGAGACAGGTCAGCTGGCTGAGCCCATAAAGGCTGCATGTACTCTGCTAATGCATTCTAGATTTTATTCTTCAGGTAAGTTTCTTAAAGCAGGTTGGGTGATGTGATTCCATCGGGGTTTTTAGAAAGACAACTCTGAGAAGCTTATAAAGAGTGGATAGAAGGGCCGGCCCGGTGGCGCACTGCTACAGTGTGCCACTTGGGAGCGCGGCCGCGC